GCTTTTTGACCTTTTATCTTTTGTAAAAAACCACTTCGGCTTCAACATTTCAATGAAGAACGGAATATTCTGCTACATGACGGGATACATATTTTGATAGATTCGACAAATCTGAGACAGGACCGTGCTTGGTAAATGTTTTATCATTGGAATCATTCCGTTGACTACCGAATAGAAAACAAGGAGCGTAGAACACATTTTGGAATACTGTCTAGTGTCTATTGAGTAACGGACGGTGCATTATGACCAGTCTATAACCTCCACATTTCCAAAACAACAATAACATGGGACTACAACATAGCACATAGAGTGTGTGAACTGTCTCAACAAGCAAGCTGCCAGCTCATACATTTGACTCATGTTTTCTGGACGGGACGTATGTTCTCAATCTGTCATAAACTTTAGCATCATGAGAAGTAGTAAGGGACCGATAAAATTATGTGCACACTCTATACATCTAACGGTTTTATTTTATGATTGACAAACACATTTTAATCAAGGGACACGCTCCATCCTGCTCGACAGTGAACATCCACTCTGAAGGGCTTGTGATCAGATCGTTCTACCTAATTACAAACTGGACAATATGCTGCCCCGTTGTCTCAGCGCAAGGAGAGATGGACTGCAGGAATTTCGTTAAAGCGACCATAATGTTAAAAAATACTTCTAGAAAAAGATATAAAACTTTCTATTTTCCAAAAGTATATTACAAAACTAAGACTTTTTGTTAATTACTAAAATTAAATGTCACTGCAACCATTTTTTATTGATGTCTAAAAAATAAAAAATGTAAACATTTCTGTCCTGATCTAATTCATACTTTGCCGCTCGTAACCCTTATGCTGAGCATGCGTATAAGCCTAGAAAGAAGGAATATGGCAAACGCAAATACGAAAAGGCGACGCAGAACTAAAAGTTACTTTACAGAAAGTGCCAGAAAGCGTAAGTGGAAGGAGATCAGAAAAGAGGACAGGCAAGAATTTATATTAGACAGGAGATCGATATATGGCGAAAGATGAAGGAGGATCTTGGACTGATTACGGATCCAGAATTTGCGAAGCTGCTGTTTGACTGGTTAGCTGAACGTTAGCCCTATATTTATAACGTATCCGCCTGACATTGATTATAATCCAATATCCAGTGTTTGGCGATTGGATATGTTATGAACAAGACTACTAAAAGTGTAATCTGATAAATGTTGAATATGTTATTCGCTTGAATTTACTGTCGACAACTTGTGTTTGTTGTTGACTGCAAGGTGGGGCCCAATTGGGGGTGTTCGTTTTAAGTGTAAAAATATGACGGTACTGGTGTTATTGTAAGAATAACAACCGTGATGATAAACATAGCCTTCATAATAAACAGTGCAATATCTATTAATGTGTACAGACAAAGTATCATTTCCTGTGCATTTCTGCACAATGAGTTTTTTCTCTTCCGATTGTATTTATCCCCTTTGGGGCCCCACTATCTTAGCGCCCGCGATTGACATAGATAATTTTCGAACGACAAAGCCAAAACAAAACGAATTACTAAGATTAATTTTTAAAATCATATATTATAACACTATAGAATCAATTACTGCAAACAAGAATTAGCAGAATGGCGCAAAAGCAAGTATTAAACATAAGACATGTGGGTTTGTTTACCTCGTAATCCATTTTTTTCTTTGCGGCGGATGTAAATGACTTCGTCACGTGACAAGCCATGTGACCCACTCGGCTTTCTTCGTAATAAACCGAGCGTGAACATGTTTATAAACAATAGTCAAGATAAACAATGTTGCGACGTCGAAAATATGTACAAAAAACAACAAATTTATAGTTATAGGCGTGTGTATCGCTTTAATATGGATATATTTTATTATTCGTAAGCCGAATTCTCCATTTCCCGATGTTGACATGTAAGGTAATAGCCGCTTTAAACATAAAGACTTTAAATGTCGGTTGTCGAAAGTCTCCGGAACATGTTCTACAACTAAGCCCACGATAGAGCTGACATCTCCGGACTCGGAAAGGACCCGTATGGCGACTTCGGGATCAGATGACGAAGATTAAGAGTGACGATGGCAGTCTTGAAACTTGATAACGGCTTTTTTTTTTTTTTTTTTTAGAGCCAAACACTTTTTCACAAAAAGTGTCCATTTTACTCGAATACATCGTATACGCAAAGATGTGTTTGTTGTTACATTGTATTTAGATATAAATAATTACCTACATCTAAGGTTTGAAGTTACCGGATTCGATGGTCAGCAGCGACATAAATAATATTTTTTGTATTCGTTTTTTTTTAAATCGCTATTTTAGAACACTAAATTACGCCAAAATGAAAGTCATACGGTAAATTAATCAATAAAGTTTGAAACAATGATCGTGTAATGTGCAATTCGATCGTCGGATCTCTTTGTTTCAAATTACACACAGTCATATAATTTGCATGACTGATTTCAAAGATTTCGGAAATTGTCAACTCAAAATGATAATTTCTCTGGCCCCCGTGCCGTCGTGTCTCGACATTCAGCATGTTGTGATACATTACCTACCCCTGCTTTGACACATATGAAGTAATCTGCCAATACACATGTGAGTAGTCGATTAAATTTCGGTTGTGTCCCTTGCACTGTTATACATTACTTGAACGTATACAATATGTACATGTATAACCTGCATATATAAATTTTGAAACCCCTTCCTATAAAGCAGCATGCGAGATGGTGTATTTGGGTCAAGATATACATCAATTAAATGGTGTACATGTGTATAAAGTGTATGTTTGTATTGTACCTTACACCAATTATATCAGTTGTAATACATGTGTGTAACAACAAAAACAACAAAATTCGAGACAAACAAGATTCATTTGGTGTACATCAAAGGATAAAATTAGTTTTTTCGTCTTGTCTTTCGGCATGAAGAGCGTAATGACTACCTCTATCATTTTCTGAAAGATTAATATGTGCATGTGCGTTCGCCATCTTGAAAAGATTGTTTGACATTGAATTAATATCTACACATTTTCTTTTCTTTTTTTAACCATCCAAGCTAATATTAGTTATACACACTTAAATTTGTCACATACAATCATTTGACTTGATGAGGTTTGTTATAAATAAAATTGTGTCTTCAGGACGATATTGTCTATGTACACAATAACGCCATACTACAAACAACAGGTGAAACATTTGCCATTGGAATCACAAAACGGTGGAATTATATACATGTCCACATAGTTAGAATAACAGTGTATTTATGATTTAACACATCAATTATATCATAAAGAATCAGATCCACTCCTCGACCGATATTATTTTATATTTAAAAAAAAGTAATGATTTTCTGTTTTTCTCGGGTAGCAAAGTTCTGTCTAACCATGTAATACCGCAATTTCTAAGTAAATCGCTACCATAAGTAAATCGCTACCAATCTAACGTAATAAATAGTTTTAAAAAAGAATTCGAAACGACTCAGTGCTAATTCATAATTATGTCATATCAAATCAAGTCAAATCGTAGTGTTATGTGAAGATGTATTCAAAGCTACTTTATAGGGACCTTGTGTCTGATCACGCTGCTATATTCATGAATGTCCGATTATTTGAAATCCGACAATTTAATGATGTTTGACGAACTTTGGCAACAGTTTCATGGTACGATTTGTAGTGAATCATACTGAAGCGTATTCCGGTCACGTTGTGTTTAATCATATCCACATTACAGAAGAAATATTAATCTGTCGATTTAGACCACTCTCTGCGACATATTTCGTAATTTAAATTGGGTCATTTTGATCGAGTATGAGTATGTTGACAGACGAGGATAGTATATATGCTGTTGCTATATCAAAGGATTCGTAATATTCAAAGAAAAAAAGTAATGCAAAAAGGTAAAAGTTCTTACTAGAAATCAGCAAAAAGTAAAAGAAAATCGGATCAAAGCGTACAAATAAAAACGTAGCTATATTTAGTAACAAGGGTTTTCCGTTGATACGTTATGTTAAAGTAATATGTTTGGCGTTGTCATTACAACACACAGGGCGTCGTTACAGGTTACATCTATCTGAGGACATACAGGAAGCAACGTATAAATGGTAGGTACTACAATTAACAGGTAACACGAAAGTATATCTGTAGAAAATTAACTACAGTTTTATTATAATTGTACAAGTGTAATAAGGAGTGACTCTGACGTAGGCATATATGAAGGATAGTCTGGGTCATAGGACATTATAGGAGTAGCACGTGGCCAGTGAATACACGTGGAGTAACATACGGCACTTGTCGAACTGTAAGTAAAACTACCAATACTTTAAAGAAACAAAAATACTTATAACGGATGTGAATACAATGAAGAAAAATATACAAGGTAAGTGAACAAATTGATCGATGTTTAAATTCATCATCATACAGTGTTTTTTTTTTCTGAAATGTGGTCTTTACACGTCATGCTATTGATAAAAGTTAATGATAGCGTCTACATCAGGGTTTAAAGGTTTCTAATAAATCATTTGTTGAATTGTATTATCATTAATAGTTTAACGCTTATCAATGATGTTTAATATATTATAATAAAACAATGTCAATGTCATGTTTGAATGTAGATCCCATACATATTTCACTTATATGACAGAATGGATTTCACAAGTGCCAACTTCATCACTCATATGACAAATATATTTATATATTTTCAAATCGTAGGACAACATATATCTATATTTTTAAGTTATGCCTCGCACTCGATATATTTTGTTGTACTCGTCAGCTGTTCAATGATGTTACACGAGAAAACATTTGATGATATCATGTAAGTAGACGTCAAATAGGAAATTCTATACATACCAAACATCTGACACGTGTAATGTTATTCATACTACAGAACACTTACACATTACACTAACTATATTACTGAACGGATAACATCCCATTGCCATATATAGTAGTCAATCGTTTATCCACTGCTACATGAAGTGATTAACTTGATTATTTCCAGATTAACCAAGACAACTCCACAACGACAATGTATCGAAAATGTTGACTTTTCGTAGGAATTTCATGTCCAGTAAAATTTTCCCTAGAAAAAGAAATAAACGGAAACTTTTGAATGGAAAGCGAATTATCTAGACTCGCCAGTTTCTTCTCTTTTCCTTTCAATTCCCCTGTTTCCCCGACAGATTTAGTCAAAGCAGGTTTTTATTATGAAGGAAATAGAGATGAGGTGATTTGTTACCGATGTTCGTTGAAACACCAAGGCTGGAAAAAGGGAGACATCCCGTATTTGATACATTCATCTAAATCACTCACGTGTCCCCTTGTCGTAGGTAACGAACCCGACGAACCTCTCATCGGGAAAGGACAAAATAGTTTTATCCATCAATTTGAATCACTTTCGATCACACCATCACCAGGAGCCACTGGTGGTCCGGAAGACACACAAAACCAAAATGGACATAACAATTTACAGCGAACTACACGTAATACAGTCCCTGGTGTCACCTCCAACAAGACCAATGACATCAAACTTCCAGTTGCTGATTCTGACCTACTTGTTCAAAGTAGGACTCCTGTTGCTGGTACTGATGACATTACCACAGACTTAGAAATAGTTGTACCAAATGATAAAACCATAGGGATTAGAAACGAAATCACCCAAGATGCGACATGCGACGTACCCGAACAGACCAACGACAACCTTCACGAAGACAGATGTGCATCTGGGTTACCAGGTTGTCAACAGGAGGAATCTTTGATCGTAGAACCATCCACACAGTCCAATGCGGTACAAGGTCATGAACGGGAGAAATCCCTATTAACAGAACCATCCAGGTTACCTGAAGAAGTACAAGATTATGATAGGGAGGAATCTTTGACTATGGAACCATTAGGAGTCACAGATCCACGGCCAAAGTATCCTCAGTTCGCTGTTTTAGCTACTCGCCTTGCAACATATGTAAAATGGCCTAGTCATTTGAACCAGCGTCCGGAGCAACTAGCAAATAGTGGATTATTCTACGAAGGTATTTGATTTAGATGTCCAATCAGTTAAATATTCTATATAATGTAATTTGAAAATCTGTCGATATTTGATAACATATATACGAATTGATATATAATTTTTAGATCATTTTACGGATTTTCATTACTGTTATGTATAAATGACCTATATTTTGAAACATTTTCAGGTAATCATGACTATGTGCGATGCTTCTATTGTGCTGGAGGTTTAAGAGAATGGGAGCCACATGATGTCCCAAGCATCGAACATGCTCGTTGGTTTCCTTTGTGCACGTTTATGCGTCAGCTTAAGGGTGACAGATTTATTATGGATGTCCAGTCTGGAAAGATAACATCTGAGTTACAGGTAGAATGTCACTCTTTTCTCTCATTATTATCAATGACCACGAAAGATTTTTTCCCATCCATTGTGAAAAGAAGCGTTAAAGCAGAAATAAGAGACATACGCTAAAATGAAACAAATCATTATCATTGAAAAGAATTAACACGGACTTAATCATACAATGTCGCTATGACATATGAAAACCAATATGTGGTCAGTTGATAGATATATAATGAAATAATAGATAAGATTAATTTAATATTAACGTTATGGCAATGATGATATTCCATAATGTTCAATCTGTAGCTTCTCGCCTGCTTCGCCGATATTAATTGAGGTTAACGTTATATGAAAATGAAGATAAATAGAATATTGAATTAATTTTGTTATTTGCGCGGATGTCATTTAAAACATTGATTGGTTTCAAAGAAAAAACTATGCTTGATTGTTCTTAGAGTGCCTGCACAGTGTCGAGTGTACCAAGAGATGATGGTATGGACAATCCAGCTGTTATTAGTATTATGGAAATGGGATACACGAAGAGGATGGTGAGCAAGGCGGTATCTACTCTGAGGAAACAAAAAGGTATATTGATGAATTATTGGAATTCCACTTTGTCCATGTATTAATCTGTCGGCCACATTAACATATATTTTAAGGCACTTGTTATTGAATTGTAAGCGTCATCTTCATGCAAGATTTAAAACAAAACCCGCATTGTTATACGCTCCTCGACAACGTATGATCCAAACGATATCTATGGCTGTGGGTATTTGGGCTTGTGTTTCCAATAATTACAAAAATACTTTTAATCTGATGCCCGGTATTGTGATTAAAGTAGATATTAATGGTACTTCAGACATACCCCTGACAGCCACGAACCTATTACAAGTTGTGTGGGACCTAGAGGAAAGCGGCCAATCTCCTGATGAGGAAGAAGATGAGGAATTTCACACAGAAAACACAATCCATCAGACAACACATAACAACAGCACCATGGATACCCACAAATCAGAACCTGTCCAAGGTAATTATTTCCAACTGCCTTTGATTTTTGACATTTAATTAATATAACAATAAATGAGAACACGGATCTTTGCAGGCTATAGTCTGGTATTATTTAGGCAGATTTTTATAAAACCTAATTTCACACCTTATTAACGCATTGCTTTAAGTAATAATTTGTTTTTGTTTTGAGATCTGGAAGCACTCGAAAATGAGAACCGGGAACTTCGTGAACAGAAAACATGTAAAGTGTGTCTTGACGAGGAGGCAATTATCGTGTTCCTGCCATGTGGACATTTAGTCACGTGTCCCATGTGTGCTTCGGCCCTGCGGAAGTGTCCAGTTTGTCGAACCTACATTAGAGGCACGGTCAAGGCTATTATATCATAGAAAGAATATTTTTATACTGTTAAAAACCAATAGGTCAACGAAATTACGTATTTGCTTCGGTTTATTTTTACTCGGTTGGTAGTGTTATTTACATTTCTATAACTTTGATACCATATCACAAACGTAATGACTTTGGTTATAAACCAGGCCATGTTTGTGATACGATTACTTATCTCATGAATATTTTCAGTAAATCAATTTTTACGACTTAACCCTATTATTGATAACGAATTTTCACCGAAGAAGTTCTACTTTACTTAAGATCTATTGAGATAATTAGTACATATTCAAACAAGAAATTGATTAAATCCTATGATTGTAAAATAATTCTCAATTTGTTTTCGAAACAAGTTTTATGATTTCCATATTGGAACAACATATTACATTATCTAAGTATACAATAGATTGTATTGTTCTGTAACAAACACTTCCTGAGAAAGGAGCTCGTGTATGTCCTAGATGTGTTAAACATATTATTATTTCATTACTGGCTGTGATATGTTATTGGCATACCATGTTAAGTTTTATTGATTGAAATATATCAGTGATCTATTTCTCATCATTTTTCCTCCTTTATTTAGTCATGTGTTATATTTAACACTTAAAATACAAGTAGACTTGTTGCGAGGGTAAAAGGAAGCAAAAGCGATGAGCCTCTGGCCAAGCACTTTTGACTTCTTATCCCCAACCAAAATGACGTCAGTGAAAGTAATTGCTCTGCGTGGAAATATAGTTCCAAACTTCGACGGATGTAACAGCAATCTATCATAATGTTCGTAAATGATATTGTTCTTAACAACAAATTATAGTCATTTATATTTCTAATCGTATTATTTATGTACGTTTCAAATGTAATTCAGCCGTATTAATGCACGAGCTAAAACATAGCTGTTTTCCTTTTTTGCTGAATACAGCGAAATATATGTGGCAGGTGCATTCCGACGGCAGCGCCAATTGCGAGTTAAAATAATAAAATGGATTCTCATCACAATTTCATGTAATCATTTTTGTCAATATACGTGCACTCAGTCTGAAAGGTGCTATTTACTTTTGAGTCTTTGGTACAACCTTCGAGAATGCAGGACGTAGACAAGCGAGGTTTGCCGTGGCCTTCACGTTACGTCTTAATTCACTGAAAGGTGGCACGGTTAAAATATACACTCGTACTTGACCTTCTTTCGTAATCATAGGATATATGGCAAACTGGCCTGTTGCACCTTCCCCCACCCATCTGAATTTTAGGATTTTAGCAACACTGGCGAGTAATTAGGAGAAAGAAACAGCTGTATAATTGATTCCTAACTTGTATTGAAATGTGCTTTACACGTGTGTGACACTTCTATTTGGATTGACAAATATTGTTTATGGCTATTAAGCAGAAATTGTTCCTGAACAACAGGTCTTATTCTCTTCGTACTTTCCCCGAGTCTCCGTGTTAATATTGTCACTACAGGGTGACCTAATCATTTCCACTTCTGGAGTGTTAAGGCCTAGGCGTATCAGAGTAATTCAATCCTATTCAAGATACACCTAGACTATTTGTTGCAAATCCAAATGACAAATACTTCCTCTGTTCCGCCTTCATATTTATATAGATATATCATATTAATTCTAGACAAAGTGTACATTATTATTCACACATGTAAGGCTAGAGTCATTTCCACTACATTTTTGTGGCCAATAACAAGTTTTTGTTACTGATTAAATCAAACAGATACTATTTGAAGGGACTAGATGGTTAATCATTAGTTTCATAACTGATAAAAAGCATTATTATATTTAAACATCTGTTCAAAGTTGTGCATTTTCTGTTAATATATAATATATAAAGTTTGCATAATGATTTTATTAACATCGTCAAAAAATTTAAATAAAATAGGAGCGACCCAACACTAATTCATATCGTTCGGAGAGTGTAAACAATGTCTTTGCACATTCAATTTTAGATGAAGATTAAATCAAATTGATTTATTTCGCTCTGTCATGCGTATAGCGTGAAACAAGAAGCCATTTTACAAAGTAAGAATTGAAACATGGCTGGCAAATAAAGTTTTAGTTAATTACGTGATTACACACAGTAAGAAATCATAACAAAACGGTGGGTTAAACAAAGTACGTAAAGTTCATGTGATGAACTCTGGGTGGTAGATACAACAGAGAGTGTCGACTAGCGTTAGTTTGAAGCTGATGATATTGATATATTTCTCTCAGAGAGTGTTATAACTTTCCATGTCTATTAGGTGTCAAGCAAATAAGTACAACTTTATACATTTGTATACCAGAAATGTTAATGTTAAGACAACCTATCTTTAAAACGGATGTATCCATATGTGAATATCTCGTAATTTTTAATTGTCCTGTCTATAACGGTCAACTGTGTAGTGACTATCTGTTTAAATAATGATATTTTCAGAAGTCACCTGCCTATAACGACCGGTCCTATATTACACGTATATGTTGTCTGTAGTGACAAACAACCCTGTTCTGACGATCTTAATATGTAAATGTCACCTGGATATGAATGTTGTCTTCATTCTGGGCTCTGTTTGTATTCCTGTTTGGGTAGCTGTTGTTCTGCAACATGTAATAGTTATACAAGACGAAAGTCTGTCATAGTAATAAGCTACATGAATATAATATATTAAGGTCACTTCATGACTGATTCTATGTTAAAACACAAAATGCATTACCATTGTTACTCATATTAAAATACATCCGTTTACGATATGAATTGACATGTAAATTGCACCATAACGATATCCGGTATGATAGTTTAACGTCAACAAAATCATGATTCGAAAAAAAGCAAAATCCGGTTGTAAAGTATAAACATACTGTAGTGAAAGATCCGGATTTAGGAGGGAAACATGACAATATATTAAAGAATTATATATGATCTATATTGACGATTATATACTTTTCAACCACCATACGCCACCAACCTCACACCCTTTACTTCTCTGACAAACACACACACACACACACACATACACATACGCATACAAACACCCACACCCACACACTAACACCCTTACACAAATATATAGATAAAAATAAAAATATAAGTCATTGTTCTGATTAAGAGAATCAGCTGAGGTAAATTATATTTGTGAACTTAACAGGTACGTAAGGTGATGTAATCACTACATTCCTGTATTACTAATTGTCTATAATTAAACTAGTTTTGAATTGTACTGTATAAGTTAGTTACCAAAAATACGTTTGTACATTCAAAAAATAAGATTTGATATAGTATTGACATGCAATCTTTTGTTTTATAAGTATTTTAAGTATTTCAAAAATTTTGATATTTCATAGGTAGGTACCTATTATTTTATAAAAGCAACCGGGTCTTGATACAATATGATACGGTTTTATTAATAGATTTGTGATTTTTATGATATTTACATATCCTATTGAATGTTACTCAAGAGTAAAAAAAATGGGAAGGAAACAACTTACTCAAGGCATTGTTTATCAACTCAATTAGAACCCATTCTCGATACTCCATTTATTACGATCACCTTAGCTCCCGGCAACCCTACATTTTGTTTGTCGTATCCAAATTATCTTTCTAACTACATTGACTGTATAGTTGTCATAACATAGATGACAGATATAACGCGTATAAATTATTATACCAAACAATGTACCGTAAAGCGGATCAGTTTCCTGTTGACTTTAAATTTCAATTAGGTTTTCTGATCAGTAAGTACATTGTTTAAAACTGTTAGTCAGGTTTTCTGATCAGAAAATACGTTTATTAGATCTCGTCAGGTTTTCTGATAAATCATCCATACGGTTTTTTTTTAAACTTAATTAATGTTTATTGATAACTGTTGTAACTGATATTTCCCCTGATTATGTATACTTTGTTAAATATTTATGTTAATTTCAAGCTAGTCACAATAACTACCGAACACCTGTTTAACTTACATATATACCTGGTGCTGATGATTTTTGAAGTCTTACACTGTATAATGTAAATTTGGTGATAGTATTTTTCATATTTCTAATAAACATCTAATGCCATGCCAGAGTTGTTTTATTGTATACTTGTTGTGGGCAACCCTACCCACCAGTGACTCATTATCGATATATCTTGCTAATAGTATACAGTACATTAGACATAGATAAGTATACCTGGCCTGGTGCACTTACTACCTTGGTATACATATTGACAGGGTAGCTCTGTTGCTGTGGTATATGTTACCCAGGTACTTGTATCACTGTTACCAAAAATCTTTATATATATATATTGACGTCAGATCTTTGATTTAGACTACATGAATGAATTCACTGTATATGATCAAAGCGTACGATACTAAATACAGGGACCATTATGTGTGACGAAATCATGCGATACAAGTACAAAGTCGCTGACTAATCACGTGATACTAAATAAAAAGTATCGTGTAGATAGTGGTGACCACAATGTATTTATTAGTCTACAGCACGTGATGATATTGGTAATACAGCTTATTAAATATAGTTTGTGCACGAATTGTGTTATAAATGGAAGAAAACTTTACTCGACTGATATCTACCTAGTTTACGTCACAATTGTGATCTGAATGAATGGTTATATTTACATTCTCACGTTTCGTTTTTTTTCTAACTATATAAGGCGATAAGAAAACATTGTTCATGATAAAGGCTTGTCGATCGTGTTGAAAATTCAGAACAATGTTATTTTATGCCTATCCTTGTCATTATTAGCCCTTTGTGTACAAAATGACACGCATATAGCTCATACCCAGTTCTAAAAAGGATACCTGAAACCTACATATATATCGGGCATTTGTATGTTGTGGTCAGGGTATTTTTTTACGTTTGCGTATGATGATCATACTAATATAAGTTTCAAATAAAATCAAAATAGGTATATAACCAGATTAATGCCCGTTTTCATGATATATAGTCATTTATCAACGGTGGGAAATACACTGTAACTGTTTTCACTTTATCTGTTATATTATAACAATATATGTATAAGATAAAATAAAACTCAGTATAAAGTGATACTCAACAGAAGACGACAATTTGAGAAGTTTGTGACATTTGATCACAACTGATGACATAGGCACACAAATCAAGCATAAAAATGTTATTTGACGATGTACGAGTAAGAATGTCCGTGCTTCTCTTTTTACAGAAAATTACATCGACGTATATTTCACAAGAAAAAAAAAGCATTCATTGATGTAAGCAAACCTAGACTGTTGATGGCTTCCACCAATCCTATATCGATTGACGTCACGTAACTTGTTTACAAGCAATGTATAGAAAGTTTTTAGGGAGAGTTATCAACCGATTTAAATTTCTTAGTGCAGCACCACCCAACCAGCATTTCTTTGATTTTGTATAGTATCATTTAGTCAGCCTTGCTTTGATTTTAATATCTATTTGATGATTTCATTTTATATGTATTCATCAGATGTCCGATGTCGATACACCCTTGCTTTCAAGCTTATTCAAGTAAGTCATCATTCGATAATATTTATTGTCCCGACTAAAGGCAATTCACCAGTCTTATTAAAAAGTAAAATGACAGTGCAGGGCTGCGTCAGAGTTGAGGGACAATATATTTACACGCTGTGTTTACAGGCATGGTTTGTTTCATATCAATGTAAAGATAATAGTAATATTAATTGTATTAATACTCATTACAAATTATTATTATAGTTGATAATGTTTGTTATCAATAAATCTTTCAATAACAGGAAATAGCAGGAAATGTCGATTGAAATGTGTACTGTTCTTCATGCGTCAGAAGCATTGACGTGTCATAAGTTGTTCGGAAGTATAATGTAGTCTGACGCCAATGGAAAACTAGATTACCAAAACACAATTTAGCTTTACGAAAAGGATACATATGGACGGATGTTGTAAGTCCATTGTTGTAAGTAACTAAGTGGATATTTTATGATAATATAATGATGTTAATAAACTTCCTCAAATATCGGTGCTAGAGTATAGTGAAGTACATAATACCGTTCAGTTGCAATATCTGAACGTCCTTATGTATTACTTTTGTGCACATGTCTAGATAATCCACTTCCTTCTGGAATTACACATCCTATGGGATTAAAGGGGTCATGTAACGAGTTTGAATGGTGGAAGAAAGCCTAAATTTCAGGAGAAAATCCACCAATCTGCGGCCAGCGCCTGGCCACTGTCCCATACAGGCCTCGGACCTGCGATCCAGAGGTGGATAAAGACAGTCTGGCGCCTTAACCACTTGACCACCGTCCACGATATCAATAGAAAACGTTTATCATAAATATGAAAGATCTTAACCGAACATACAGTGTCATACATCTGTTAGGATGAATAATGATGATTTTTTTTTCTAGTGATTTTGTTGTATGGTGACTTACTCTTCGATGTTGGCATGTGCGGAAACTGCGATATAAATCATAATTGTCATTTTTTACAAAACACTGTTTTGCACTTATCTCTTCAGTTGTTAAGTAATGAAAACTCTATAAATGTTTTCATTAGATTTGAAATTAATAATAATTAATGAACATGTGAAAAACTGAGCAGAACTAACGCTACTCCAAGTATAATTCTTAAGGAAGTTGTGCAAAATAAGCTGTAAACGACACAGGTCTTAATATATCTGTATGTGCTAGAAGCAAATTAATGGTTTTTGCCATGACGCTATTTTAATAGATGGTCTAAAGCTGTTTTTAAATATGAACTAATTTTAAAAATCTGATAGATGCAATCTGGAGTTAATAAGTAAGTTATTGAACTGAATAACGTCGGACAGGGAGTTTGATAATTAATATCCAATGGGATTAGATTTGCAGAAGAAATCTGTGTGCTCAATTACATGTAAATGTTTCTTTAAACGTGCATGAAAACTGGTGATGTATATAGTTCTACTGAGAAACCACAGACTGAATTTTTTTTCTCCTGTCATCGATGTCGTTTGTCATAGATAGATATGTAAAAGCTGTGGGTGACCAAAAGGATGAGTGCGTTATTTACGATGCGTTAATGAGAATCGTCAGGGAACAATTCAAAGTATCCTGTTGTAAATATAGTGCGGGATTTCCAACAAGATGAAGGATGTATGTTGAAAATGGACTACACTACCGAATAAATTGTGAAACCACAATATATACATCTACACAATATCGCAGGTCGACTTATTAAACAGAATCTTTCTCCTCTGTGTACACAGATAGTTGAACGAGGGAAAATAAATCTTTCCGTGATGCTCTACTAACCTATATTATCCCAAGCTTATATATGTCTTTGTCTTCGTCACACAATTGTGGCTCATCAGTTCATGTTGCTGTTTATGTCCGTTCATGTCCTTTTTCTTTCTTTTTCGGCCGTTGTCTTTTTACTTCCTTTCGTTAACCTCTTATGATTGGGTCTCTATACTGACCACTCGATAAAGACTTCTAATGAGACACAACTTATCCATCAGAGGAAATTGTACACGAGAGTTCTGTATACACTACAGGAAACTTATCTTAAATGTTTGTAAAATATTTTCCATGTCTATAACGATCTAATGATAGAAGTTGTTATAATATCAGGAATTAGTTTCCATCTATGAACCTTTAAAGTGATTAAAAAGTTCATATTAACTTGTATGCCAAGTAATCAAAGAGAGATAAGTTTATTCCAATCGGTTATAGAATGGTGGATTTAATGAGACAGCCATCGATAAAAGAAAGCTCAGTGATAACTTTGGAAATTGCTTTATTTCACTGTGATTTTGACATATATTTTTCATCTTGCATAATGTTGCTCTATATATGCACTCTATAAACTCATCTCACTATCTGTTCAGTGAAGTATTACGAGAAATATGAAAAGGAAGGTGTGAGAATTAAAAGGGATAGGTTTGTTTTGAAATAAATTACCAGTAGATATGATTTGAAATGAAAAGGGATTATCATATGTAGAAACAGTAATGCTATTATATATCTAAAAGAATAAGTTACTGGGGAAAATACTCAACATTCTAACGTAAAAATAACAAAGGAACTATTTAACTGAGAATAGATCTGAGTGTTACAGGAATGTGTAAGGGTTAGATAAAGTGTTGTAGGGACACGACGTGTTCCTGGTACAATACACAGGAGGAAGCATTGGGTACAAGTTATAGACGAAGTCGTCAACATATTTTCAAACTTTGAACAGATTAATTGATGTGAAGTTTGTTTTTCCAGAAATTCGATACACAATTGATGTTTAAATGTTATAATTCCCATAGAATGTAGTAAAGTACATATGAATCAGAATATGGTTAAAATCGTAGAACTGTAACATCGGAGACGCATTAACTTTATTTATTTGTGGTGTATATGTTGTTTCTCAGGGATTCCCCTCTTCATTTTCTAATCCTTTCTTTATCAGGAAGTTCTCTTAACATATGATTATATTTCAACTTGGGTTAGTGAATCGTGATGTCTCCCCTATAAGGAAGTTGCTGGTTTCTTATTAAGACGAAACACAAGCCCGGGAGAATAAAGACTGGTGTATACACGACACCAGACATTTTGTCAGGAAAATATCAAAATTAATTAGTCTTAGCTTGCTGAAAATAATAAAAAAAAAGCTCATTTAAATTTACGATTTCTTCTTTCCCCTGAAAGGAAGATGAATTATACTAACATATTCTCAATATGTTCTTTGATCATTACCACGTAATGAGTCGAAAAGGGGACTAATAGACAATTACATATCATATATAAAAAAACATTTCAGTTAAGTAGAAATTAAATCTTTATTTAATATTTCAACATTATCAATATGTACACAAAATTTCAATGACATAGGGAAAAAGCGAAGCACTCGTGTTAATAATGTCATGATAATTTCCTTTCCCCCTCTTCATATATAGGTATTTATCCTACATTTGTTCGCAAATGAAAATTACCCAGATGGCTTTCCAGTAAACAATAAAAAAAATGGCATATACATCTAAATTGAAATTGTGACTATTTTCATATTTGCATGTTTTAAACACCAGTTAATGTTTCAAACCATTTTATAAATTTTGGGATTTCTGAAAAAAAAAACCTGTTATGCTAAAAGGAATTACAGTTATACTTTCCGACGACGGCCATTCCGATTTATATAGGCGAAATACAACGAATTACTGCCGGGTCTTTCGTTCCAGAGACAAAAATGTAGCAATTATATTGATACTTGCTGTTGCTAAATAAGACAAAACAGGATGTTTATTATAATTTCCATGGCAACTATGATTTGGTTACCATCTTCACATTGGAATGACGGCAAAAAGATCGGTTGACACAACTGGCATTACTGAAAGTGAAACTAGAATCCTTCTGACTTCAAAAGTCATGAAGTATGGGTCATGCATGCCAATCAACAGAGGTTCTCCAATGGCGTGCTGGTTAGGTAGATGTGCATGGTTGACAGCTGGGCTTTATTAAGCAGACACTGAGGTACTGGGTTTATAAACTCCTGAAAAAGACGAAATAATATCATCTACGGGTTGCTAAAATTCAAGGAAGTTTTTAAATGAGAAAGTATGACACTGTTCATTTGTGTTGAGGTAACAGTAATTTAATTAATAAAAATAATCGCAAAGGTATGCATCTTACCTGGACGAGGTCAGTTACATTACCAAGAGAATATCATAGCCTTACCATTCTTCATGTGGCGAATTCATTTCCTTGATAATTTCTTATCTATTTAACATGTATAGCGAGGACACAAACATAGCATTTCCTGATAAAGTTCATTTAACGTATTAATATGATACCTGGATAATACCTGCTCTTACTCAACAATCAATTTTCCTGTAACTGTTATACAGGTTTTCTGATCTTATATCCAAACTTTTATTATATTTGATACCGAAATTATAGTTATTTCCATCACATAGTTGATCTCTAATCCACTTATCCTCTTTTGAATTCATTTTCATATTTTTTTTATTATGGCACTTGTATAATATACCGGAGAACGTTTTTCATTTGTACAAATCGACATATTCATATATATCAAACACTTCTAAAGATAAATATGATTACATGTAATGTTGTCATATGATGTGGCGTAAACAATGGAGATTCTTCATGAAATGACAGAGGTAATAACGTTATATTCATCATACAGACTTAGGTCCAATGGTCATGAACTGAAAGTACTAGGCAAGTTCTAACGAGCATCTTATATTCCAAAGATATAAAAGCATGACTACCATCGTCAAATCCCCCCAAAGTCTTCGTCTACCTTCATCGCTCTTACCCTGTTTTTGTATGTTAAGCAAGACTTTTGAATTTGAAGGCAGTAAGGTATCCTTGGAGAGACTGGTGTTTATATTATGTTGTATCAACGTGGTATTAAACCTGAATCCTTTATTCTTAAATAATGTGTTGGATAATCTTTGATGTGTTTAGATAATTGAATATTTACTTTTATGACGCTGCTTGGGGGATGCTCCGTACGGTTAGAGGTCATGGGCGTGCCGAGCGCCCAGCCAAAGGCGTTCAGTCTTCCTTTGTTGTACAGGAGAAACACGGGGAAGAAATCGTCACAGTTCATGTCAGACGTGACATTGTACCAGTAGTGTTCACCTGTAGAAAATGATATATACATGGCTTTGTGTTCCTAAATCATAATCAAATACTCACTGGGGTTTTGCCATTTGTAACGTCCTAATTAATACTGGAGATGAATCTAATTAATAAATAGATGTAATAATCGACGAATATTATTGCATTGGCGAAAAATTCACACAGATAGCATTCTAACTGACCAAGGTAAGTATCATTGAATCATTTTGAAAACAAAAGGTTTTATTTGTAAAATATATTAAACAGTTAAGCGGGTGCATGTATATAGAAAACTTGATATACTTCATACGTAAATTTTCTGCATCGTAACAAAAGAATAAATGATTAATTATTGTCACTTTTATTTAGCATAACTTTTATATACGCTTTTGGAAGATTTTGTTTAGTTTCATTTAACGCTTAATACAACAAAAATCACTCATTTTGTTTTTTAATCGTTCTATATGATAGGAGGCTTAGTCTATCAAATACTATTGAGTTTATTGGTAGCTAAAGGGAGGTAATGACATTTGAATTACAAGAATCCTCTCAGAGTTACCCCTACTGCTTACGACAACAATAAGCAATGGTCTATCCATAAGGTATTTAATGAACAAAGTAATCTGTCTTTGGATATTTTCAACATATTATTAGAAAATTGATGAGAGTATTTCTTTTATTGTTTAGAGTGATTGATCTATCTTCTTGATTTTTTAAAAATTATTCGTTAGATATAGCGATAATATCAGATATAGTCACAATAATACTTTGTAATCTTTATCAGAAAAAGAAATCATGAAACATGTTTTTGCTGCTCATAAAAATACTGATGAAGTTATTGAAATGCATTATAACAGCTTCTGCGATGTCTTGAAAACTCAAAAATAAGAAGCGGCTTGTCAGTAGTAAGCAAATAAACGTTTATTTATATAAAAAAACAGACTTATTTTCAGGTTATACTTATTATTGAGGTCGACTTGTTTTCGGATTTTGTGTATGGCTGATGGATTTTTGACCTTCTTATTTATTCTATACATTATGTTTAAACAATTTCATCTCGAATGTGTCAGAAATAAACGCTGTTTTACATCGTAATGATTTGGGAGCACCTTCCTTTATATGTTTTACTTTTTAAAATGTTGCATTCATTGTAATGCATTGATATGATAATTACTCGCTGCCTATACCTCTCATCGTGAAAATGTAAAATCTATTATTTGAAAACGATTTGCAAATTAATAAACTGTTGATTTCAACGAATTTCAGCTTCCAACTCTCTTTACTTTATCGAGACATATTACATTGTTAATTTAATCTGTTAAATTCAATCAAGAACAGACTTTAGATAATATATATGTATATATTTATATATATATATTCCGAAAATTAATGAATTAGTGTTTGATTTGTAAGACAAGTCTCCCTTGTGACGAATATAAAACCCACAGTTGTCCCGTGCTGTATCATGGAACCTTGGTATCCGAGTCTAACTGGAGTCAAATAGTGCAATGTCGTGTTGTTTGGAAGTGTAAGAATATTTTAATCTATTTTACGTTTTTCATTTACGTTCAGTTTTTACTATTTGTACAGCTGGTAAAAGCCTATATGTTTATATCAGTCTTATAACAAAAACAAAGTGTAAGACATACATGTCCACACAAAATAACATTTAATGTAAGGGAAATAACTCTAAGTGATCTAAGTGGGAGAATATTCTGGTATGTTTGAAATATTTTCAAATTATTTGAAAAAAAAAATCGTAAAAACATCCTTTTCCAGCATTTAATCTCAATACATATTAAAAACATGGGAATGAAAATCAACATAAAAATATAGCAAGATTTATTTTATCAAAATTCAGTACGAGTGTAATACAGTTTTAGTAATATTTAGCTATAGCAGTTCCAACATTTTGGTATCTATAATACTTAACTGCAGCGTCAAAGATTTTATCTATGCGAGTGGTACAAGTATGACAGCTATACAGAACATACTTAATTTCATGGTCGGGGGAATCATACCGAAAGTGATTGCAACAAACCATTTAATATATACAATTCTAGGTCATTACATAAATAAAATAATAATGTACCGTCCCTTTCAGTACAACCCATGAACAAGTTAGTTTTCAACAAAAAAAATCCCTCAATGTAAGTTATCCTATACTTACTGTAGTGACACTACAGACTTTGAATAAATAGCGATCACAAAGGGTAAAGCTTTTCCTCTGGTTCCGTTTTTGTGTACCATGTTGTCTTTTGGAAATGTGACATTACTTACATAGATTGATGGAGACGTTATCAATGAATCAGAAGAGTTTCCGAGTAAATCTTTGTTTTGTTCATATCTATTTTCTAGTTGATTATGTTGACATGTTGTTATTTTCTTTGTCGTATTTGCACACACTTTCGCATATGAATATTCATGAAAGTAAAACGTTTCAGTTCACATTAAAGTATTATATCATACCCATGCTGACGAAACAGTGTCCCTTGGTCCATTTAGTTGAATCCAAGTACGTCTCCTCCTTTGGTACCACAAAGGAATTTTTCGCAGCATCTGTTCCGTTCTGAATGAAGAGAGAGTCACCAGTTCCATCAGAGGCAAATTTTTCAGCAGTCCTTCCAGTGGTACAGATTGTGGCTATAGATACATGTAAAGGTGTTTATCGACAAAGAGTTATCATCTGATGAAAAGTTTCAAACCCTAATAAAAGGTCAATATTTGTCCGTCTACGCTTATAAATGGGCCATATAATATTTGTGGAGAACTGAATTGAGAAAATGCCCGTTTTTGGAACAAATTGTGCTTGGCAAGCAAAGTGTCTGGATTATGCCATAAATCTTTCAGTTATCTACATTTGTATTGAGTGTAAGAACCCTAGGCCCAAAAAATGCATCGTACATCTTTACAGCCCTGTCTATTATTAGCATATCTGAAATCCCTTCGGGTATACATATCTTAAAAATATTTGACTCATTATGAGTAGATCATGATTTCTATCACATCAGATATCAACAAACATGAATACTTATGTTCCCACATATAAAGATCTAATCCCTTTTGGATATTGTTTACTATTTACAAGGATCTAAATTACGAGGGCTGGTTAAATGATCATATCTTAAGAAAAATTGTCTTAATGTCTTACATATGTTACGTCCAAGACATCAATCTTCATAAAGAAAAGTGGTTGATTCCGACGTAACACATATCAAGTCTACAATTTTATCAATATCTCAATCAATATAAAGAAAGGTGCTGTTTCGTGTATTCATGCATCTTTTTTTTTTCTATATTTTAGACCGATTGCAAATGCCATAACGTCCATTTGTGAGTTTGTTAACTTAATTCCTGGCATAGCTGAAGAGTTCCAGATGGATTAGCATCTTTCAAAGCAAATTTAGAATTAGATAGAGTAGAGCAAATTAATTAAATTGCATCATACATTTATTTTGTATATCTAGGACTCTTCAGTAATGCTAAGGGCCTGAATTCTGTAACCTAACAGGCAGTTTACAAAATCTCTTAGCATTATAAAGTAACTGTAATTAATTACCTGGATTGGTGAAGTAGGCTGTTAGGTAGTACATATTGTCAACACTGACAAAGGGATGGTTGATCTGTTTGTTTGGGGGAAACTCGACAGTGGCATTCTTTGTTACCTGAAAAAGAAGTCACATTAATGAAAGGCATTATAAGACACAAGGGGGGAGGGTTAAATCTACATAGATTGTTGTAGTTTATAACAGTTTGATTCGAATGATTTTAACATAGAAAATCATCCATAATTGAGATGATCTCTAGTTCGCTCAGTTACTATTTGTTTATCTATATATTCTGCTAATTGTATCTGATGTATTGTCTTGAAGTATGGTATATTTACTGCAATGCCAAGATATTTTATGTGTTTTCTCCGCCTTTCTCAGAGAATGGTGGATATCAGTATGAAATTATGAAATGAAAAACATAATTATTGTGTTACAATATATAATATATCTGATGGTAAACTTACCCCTATCTGGATCCCAGCTATGTAACCATGGATACCGTACAACAAGATAAGAGAGTAGTCCCCTCCCTGAACATAACGTTTCCCGTAGATTCCAGGAATGGCTGTAACATTGATACGAACATCGCCAACAGTCAGTTTTACCTATGAGGTATACATTAATGCCATATAATTTTAAAAGCTGCAGACAGTTTAACAGTTTAATACGTATGAAATAGGCATTGCCTTATTAGCATTATGGGTATATATATAACTATTGCAACTGCTTTGTAACTCATTCAGAGGGTCTGATATTGGACTCGAGATCTCATTTGAACTATCTTAAACCTTTTTGTATCTGATTAATAGTGAAGAGATGTGTTGACAATATCTCGACACAACAGTTTTTTTGGGGGGCTTTGCCTCCCACCTGCAGACTTAGAAAATATATTTCTTGTTATGGTTATATTTTCATTATTTTCATCGAATTATACTATTCATTCCTTTCGAGTTCAGCATTATAATTTTGTAGGATCTGTAGGAGCTTTCTAATACATTCATATTTATGCAATTTTACGACGTTTTAGAGCACATTATTCAGCTTATACAACAACAATATATATAAATAAAACGAAATGTTGACACGAGTTGTATTGAAAAACTGAGAACAGGGTTTAAAATTTTTAAAAACGTATTACATGGGTACATTACAATAAACTTATTGCAAGGTAATATCATATTGTGTCAGGAATGAATGAAAGTGCTTAATTCACACATGAATAGTTGATTGAAATCGATATCTGTCAAAGACATGATATGAAAATACACAAAATCGTTCTTACCTCCACAATCCGAGACCATTTTAAACCCTGCAGACACGGCATCAGATGTTGTTCTCGGCATTTTAGCGAACGTGTAAGGATTGAATATGTTCACATCCCATTTCACTGATGATGTTTAGAAAATTTAACATTATAACAACAATAATCGCCATTAGTCCCATCGTAACAAATGTAATTCATTTCTTCCTGGTACAATTTATCAACCACATGACGACAACTTTGCATTTCAGAACAGGTATATCTCGTTGCTGTTAACAATAACAAATTTTGCGGTAAGAACTTCCATTAGACTATTGGCATACCTATGCGAACTAATTTTACCCTTCTATGGGCTGACTTGTTTTTTTTTTCTTTTAATTTCATCAAGGACACGACAGACACTTTTTTATACGCCGTCTGTCCTGATCTTGTCCAATAACGAAGTCAAAATGGTTAACTCTCCATTAAGCTGTGTGGTAAGCGTGACGATTGCAATTTCTCTATTGTGAATTTACCGTTTGCAGGAAATTCCCTGTATCTTCAACCTATGTTTACATGTCGCAGCTGATCATTTATCCTTCATCACCAAGCTATGGTATTTTCATGTAGCAGCTGATACGATATTCAAGGGCCTGTTTGCAATGTGATGATTTTCGTGCAAAATCAACTGACAGACAAACTCATAACACAGGGTTATAAGAGATGCATTTGTACTTTTTGTACTTGTCAAAGTTTTGTTAATTTGAGATTGGATTCATGTTGGTATTCGCGTATTGTATTTACATTACTATAATAATACATTTCAGCTACTATCAGAGAACATGTGTGTTTTGTGCATTATGCCAGAATATACACAGTAACAGCAATTTCAATATAATTATGTACCGTTAGACTATTATATCATATTTCGTCAGAATATAGGGACGGTTATGTGTTTAATATTGAACTGACCACATTAGGAACGTCATATCGTCCAAAAAGCTGTTATAATAAGTAAGACACTGACATGCGTGACGGAATGTGCAAAGTAAGGTAGGTACCCTATTTACCAAGTTTTAAAATATAACATGGGGAGAGGAATATTGTTAGAAGGATTATAGTCTGTTTCGGATCAAGTCACCTTTGTGTTTACACGTGTTTTACCTGTGCCATCTAGCGTATGTTGGAAACTGATATCATATGAAGTGATAGGAATTTCATTGAGAGTCGAAAAATAATGAAGGTGTTACATATACTTAATAAATGTAAATATGACAGTGAAAAACGACAAAAAATTTGTTCTATGATTTATTATATTGGATTTATTGGATGTTAGGATAATTCAAATTTTACATTTTACACACGACATGTCTAAATAAGAAAAATAGTTATATAATGATGCTAAAATGATATAAACTATGGAAGAAATCTTGATTTAATCAACTCCTAATATAAAAGTATTGACATCATTAGTTAATATCAAGGTTTTTACCTTTAATTCTGGTTTAAAATATTAGTCAACTACCTATGCTAAATAATTAATTGTGATGTGCCCACTCGTTTACACATTACTACCTGGCAAGACCCACAGCTGTAAATCCGTTTCCTAACTCTGTTAAAGACAACAACGGACATCAACAACTTTGCATAGAGAACGATGACACTAAAAGACGTCTTCGCCTTAGTTACCCTTGATACTCCTGGAGAGGAAAAAGGGCGTGTGGTTCACATAAGGACCTCACATTATTAAAGTTTTGGAACCATGGTAGGGAAGCTGAAGAAGAAGATACGTCACTCACATATGCATTAACACCATCATCAGGGTGCTTGAAAAGGTCCAGGTTGCCAAAGAAAGAAACAGGATAGCAGCGCGATGCCAGAGAAGCAACAAAACTACTTGGGAAAGGTACCGAAACATCTATAACATACCTCTCTGTATTTAATGACTTCGAAACTTTTTTGTTTACAAAAATGTTGAGTGTTAACTTAGAATTGATGAATTATATCGTGACAATATAGTTATGTATGTAAAACTGTTTGTAAATTTATATACAGATTATACAGTACTGTTGTCGGAAACGGCAGAAGGGTTACAAACATATTGAATAATCAACAATAATGACACTAGCTAATCTAAACTTGTTATATTTTCTGAAAGAAAGACAATGATAGGACAATATTTCTTATTATACAAACAACAGTTGGACACTGGGTTCTTGTATCATAACAATTAGCTTAAAATTGTTTGTGCGATCAAACCTAAAAAAACTATCTTTACTGTATATCGATAACTATGAAATATTAAACTATCAATTGATATACAATTTAAATCATTTATTCATTAGATGTTCATATTCTGTTATGTTCGAGCGAAATATGGGGATATGATAATGTCAGTCAGTTGGAAACCATTCACTTGCTATTTTATAAACGAATCCTTGGTTTAAGGGAAAATATAGCACGTTTTATGATATATGGGTAAACGAGACGATATCCTATAACGATTAACATTGAATTAAGAATGATTAAGTTTTGGTGTAATCTTATTTTCAATTGATTTTTTTAAAAATTTATCGTGTATGTATAAGGTGAAAATGGTGTAATAAAATTTATACAGTAACACCTTAGTTTAAGTATACCTCAAAACATAACATTGTATAGGGTTCTTTGTATTGAAGTAGCATAAGATTGTGATAAGGTAATGATATACATGTAAGATAGTTTGACCTATTATGACTCAAAATTGTACATGATATATACTATGACCTCTTGTTACACACTGTGTGTGTCTGAGCAAATAAAGAAAATATTGACAAAAGTGATCCATTTATGAGTGTAGAAAGTGCTAATATGGTCAGCCAATTAGACATTATACATATGATAAGATAACTAATTATGATTTCCGTTCATCAGCCAAAGCCAGAAACTAATGATACGACTCTTAATATAAATAAAGGGCAACATCCTAATTTCCTGTGTGATATATATATAAAGGTGGATTTCTGTTAGCATTAATGATACTACGGAGAAACTTTGTGTAAACTTTTTTCATTAATAGAAAAATTTTCGAAACGCCAGATTTCACAGCCGTACAACAATATTGGTAAAATTATTTGATTAAATAATTTGATCTGGCAATCGATTGGTAAATTTAGATTGCGAATCCTTTATTTTAACAAAAACTTTGATTTAGTAACTTAGTCTTAAATGCGTTTCCTTGCTAATGAAAAGGAACAATTTTCAGAAAAATTCAAACCAAGCTCTTTATAGTAATAAGAAATCTCAAGAGCGTTATCAAACAGTATGAACATCTGTAATTTACGGCACCTTGGGCGGAAAATAACAACACAAGTCTTTGTTGTATGTATTGATAAATGCCAAAGTATATAATACTTTAAAAAACTGACAGTGATTTCTGCATATCTCTGTCTTTTTCTGTAAAAAATTACAGTATCATCTGCATATAACAGAACCATGTCTATAGTTTGTATTATAGCATTTCAGATAACAGATCACACGGACCAAAAAAGGTAGATGAGTAACTTATATGCTTAGTATGGAATTGAGCATAATTGGTTTGTCAGAGTCATCGTAAAATAGCATCTTTGTCTCATAAAAATTGAGTAAATCGGGAACCTTCGAGGTAACTGACCGGAAACTACGTAGTACTAAGAGTCAGTCCATAGTGAGACTGTCCACTCAGGCATGTAAAACGAGGTATGAGAAGATTCTATTTTTAGCACATTGATCACAGTCATATGACTGTACCTTAAGAATCTAGTGGAAAAGAACGCATGCACTGATTTTCTATCTTACAGTATAGTATCACGAATAATTCCAGTTTATCATATTGTCCTGCAGAAGACGTATCCTATTAATGCAAGACCGTGCATTCTCAGTCATAGTGAACCCGATACTCTTGGCTTTTATATATGTTTTACAGAAATATTAAGAAAACATATTACAGATAATACAGAGAATGTATATACTAACCTCTGAGATCGTTCCATTCAGGTTCTGAAAGATTCAAAATAGGCTAAATCATAACATGTTCGTATCTTTACCATTGGCGTTACGGAGACAAAGAAATAAGTATTACACATATACATACCATCAGAAGGATACCAATCCACTACGTATCCGGAGATAAAGGTATTTATAAAGCACAAAGTGATTATAATGAAGCACCTCATCTTTACCACTTCTACCAACGTAATACCTCCAAGTCATATGACTTGTTAGCTAGGTGCATGTCACGTGACTACCGATCGCAATATATCCGTGTCGGACTGATAATGGAAGCGATCAACCATTATTGGACTGATTTTTAACCTCAATATAGAATAGAAAACCTCTTATAATATAAATATCATCTAACAATATATAAGGCCTATTGATAATACACAGGACACCTATTAGGCACCATATAATTTCTAGGTGGAAACTGTTTTTTTTTTTTAAATATACCCTTTTCCCAACTGACAACAATGCCTTTGTACTGCTTCACATTTATAAAGAGACACATGTTGGTGTCAGATGATAGATTATATAACTATAAGACGTATTACAGGCGTTCTTAATTGAAATCTTGTACAACTACTAGGTACCACAACTACTAGGTACAATTTGTAATTCGAATGAGGTAAAGTCACCGTTAATCATTCTGAAAAATCTAAATAACCCTTAATTTACAACTATTTAAAGATAATAATTTATCAGGTACAACGCTACTATCACAATCTCCATCATCTGTCAGATAAATGTGCAATTTGTCCTGTCTATTACGCAAATTATTGGAAAGTCTTCAATAATTTGTATGAGTGTTTTTATGTGAGTGGCTATGTTGTAATAAATATTTGATTCCAGTTGTTTTGGTCATATATTCCTTAAACATCACTGGTTTTAATGTAATGTTTTTTCAGTGGTCGGCGTATGTTCTGATTCAAATTCCGTTACCAGTAGCCGTCCAATTAGTTACCTGTCTTTATGTATATGTTGGAAAGCTACAGGTAATTTTGCAAATATTTGGCTGATGTCGTACACGGATAATGGATGACATCACAGCCGTGTATGAAGTTTAATTACAGTCTTGTTCGCAGAGCGGACCTTCGGAGAATGTGTCGTGTATGTTCCGAGAATGTTCTATTTTAAGTATAACTTCATTATTTATAACAAGCGTCACAACCGGTTGGTTTTAAAAATGACCTTATATGCAGAATATAATGCATGTAAATTCATGGATCGTGATTAAATCCCGGATGTTTTGATTATGTTACCTGAATATCGTTTGAAGTCGAGTATTGTCAGATTTTGCGGCGTTTTGAAAAACTAAATAATTACAATCTAGGTTATCAAACTTTGAATAAAATAATATATATATATATATATATATATAATTGTCCTATCTTGTAAGACATATGAATGGTATACATTGTGCAATGTAAATAGGAAACAGTTAGAATATTGATGTGAAAATATGTATCAGACAATGTTTTGATTATAATGACCAGTTATGATGGGTTCAATGAAGGAAATGTGAAAATATAAAAATAGAGAAATTAATTGAATGCAGAGATGTGAGTAAATATATACAGGACACACACCTCGTATGGTTAAAGGCATTATCAGTACCTACACGAAGGTTAGACGTGTTCTGTGAGACTAACTTTGAAATTTGAACTTTATTTATTTCACATCAGTTGTGAAACAAATTTACCAACTGATATTAATCAACCGTATTGGCCCGGATGAAAGCGCGCGAGGGGTCTCACCTTGTGAGGAAACCGGAGTACCCCGGCTAGGTGAAAGGCGTGAGCGTAGCCAAGGCGTCAACCGGTCAAAAATCGGCCACCCGACCACCCGGCCACCCAGCCACGCGGCCACCCGACCACCCGACCACCCGATTGAGACTAGTTAGGGTGTCTGATAGTTCCGTTACTTATTATATTACTCTGGTCTAATAATCGATACATGTTTTTTCATGAGCCGCTCTGTAAATCGTTTGTTAATATTTTGTCACGGTGTAATCGATTCTGAGTTTGAATAAAGATTCTGTAAACATGGCAATATATTTTTTCGCTGTTTTCAATGCAGCTCATTTTTTCTCATGTACACTAATTATTTCTTCAACATGCAAAACATGGATATTGTTCCGTTTCTCTTTAGTAAGAAAACCACATGAATATATAGCAACAACAATGTCAAATCATGATTGTTGTGTAATTGTTTTCCTAAAAGAATTATCTTGGGCCAATTAAGCATTTTGAAATACAACTGAAATATACCTAAAATTTATACAATTTAAATCAGTGTTTTAGGGATGGATTCCCATAACGGCATTTAATAAATCATTACTTTTCAAAAAATGAAACACGAATGCCTTTTTCATTTTTAAAATTTGAAAAAGTTCCATTCACTATTTGCATGTTTGTAATAAGACATTATCGGTAAGGTGACTTTCCTATGTTTTTTTGTTTGTTTCTGGTTTTTACATGCAAAGAGGAAACGATAAATTCCAAAACAGCAATGCTTCATTAAGAAAACTACCTAGTCCATTGTACCTAATGTGTAACCGACTTGTCGGGTTATCTCCCTTTGTGAGCTTTGAAAATGTCTTTGTAAAATTAATCTGCACCAAATTACCATATTTTGGTGGAACTAAAAATCTAATATATCATACAAACTTCTTATTCAGAATAAGTACGTTTATCGTACTTGACAACGTATCATACAGTGCCTGCTATCAGTTGATAAAATCTGTCCAAATATAATGTGAGGAATTCGCTGTAACAACTTTAAATGTAATTAAAATCTCCGTCTAAATAAAAAAGAAATGGCCGGGTTTCTATACATGAGTCGCACTTACATCAACTTGCAAATGTGTCTTTCTACATAAAACCATTACATGCAATTTTTCCAGCTTATACGGGTTCCCATAAAAGGAGTAAGTGATATATATGTACTTATCATACATCCTTCCAATACGACCACCACTTTAACTCACCATTCAAAAGCGTAGGTGTCTTTTGTTTGAATTTCAAAATTATGGAAGAGAAAAAAAATCCTATCGATGGTTTCACTTACCTTCTGAAAACATGAAGGCCCCGGACTTAGCAATGGCAATACTGATGATGGCAAATGCTAGTAACCTCATCTTCATTCTGGGAGGAGTGATTCGTGAAACAAGCTGGTTGATCAGAAACCTCCTCTGTTAATCATCAAATAGACACCAGGTAGTCTTTAATAAGGCAAATATTCAAACCACGTGATTAAAATTGCAAGACGACACAATTTTGTGTTGTAAGCGACGTACGAATTCTGACCGACAAGAAACCGTCGAGCTGATGTAATACTGCAGGAGATATGAGAAATGAAGGCAGGACATGAAATTTCATAACCAACATCACCTATTCAACTAAGCAATGTAGATTCCAGGGACAAATACTGTTATCTTTGAAGTAGAAACAAAACTAAATTTATAAAACTAACTTTAAATGTCATTTTATTGCTAACACAATAGCAACATACAAAATTATATTGATAGCTGAGAATTATATCTTACAAGAACGAGTAATTATCCAAACTGTCATGTTTTGGTGTCTAAAACGTCTCTACTTTGACATGTTCTAAATTGTAGTTATAAATATACTTTCACGTGATTGATATATTTTAACTGTGATAAATTAGGGTACCCAGCATGTGTTTTAGACCTCATCAATATGAATATATACATAGTGTAGATGTCTTTACACGTGGAGAAGTTTTTAACACGTGATTATTCGTGATTATTACATATATATTTGATGTGTTACACAAATGATTATTATGTATCATAAACATGATTAGAAAGTATTACACTTATATCATACAAATGATCACTGTGACAAAACGTCACAGATAAATAGTGTTTTACGCGTGATTTTCGTACTATACAGAAAACTTACATATCAAACATTAATACAGCACACTATTGACACGTGGTTATTACACGTTTATCTGGGATTTATGTTGTATCATCCTGGCAAATAAATAAATTACGTGTACAGGTTTAATATTCACCCAGGTGACATATATATATTGGTGACTAATGTATATTGTTTTCATTCTTGACTTCTATTCTACATGTCGGCACTCTAGTGTTAATATTCCATAGCATTCATCATGACTTTTCATGTTTTATGTTATCTTTAATATAAATATGATACATGTACTTTACGTTTGCCTTTACCGACAACCATACATATGTCAACACGAGTTATCTCTCTTGCATAACATAATTGGTGTCTGGTCTAAGGGAGATAACCTACTCGATTATTTTGTTTTATACTAAAATGCATGTTAAAAATGGTGTACAAAAGCAATTTTTATAAGTTTAGAATACTATTACGTCATTCAATTTGATATTTGCATAACTATTTTAAGGCAAAATTTGCGCAATGCATTATCATCTGGAAAGTTCATGTAAATTGATGTTTTGCACTGCACAACACACGTGAAACAATTTTACCGATCTATTTCAACTTAAAGCAACTATAATCTTTAAAAAAACACTACGAGAAACGATATAAAACGTTATTTTTTCTATTAGTATGTTACAAAACTAGACTTTCTGTTAATTACTAAAATTAAAAGTCACTGAAACCATTTTTATTGATATCTAAAAAATAAAGAATGTAAACAGTGCGGTCTTGATCTAATTCATACATTACCGCTCGTAACCCTGATGCTGCGCATGCGTATTAGCCTAGAAAGAAGCAATGTGGCGGACGCAAATACAAAAAGGCGACGAGGAGCCAAAACAAAACTAATTACTAAGGTTAAAAATTATATATTATAACACCATAGAATAATTTACTGCAAGAATTAGCAGAAAGGCGCAAAAACAAGTGTCGTAATAAGACATGTGCGGCTCTCTTCGTAATAAACCGAGCGTGAACATGTTTATAAACAATAGTCCAGATAAACAATGTGACGATGCCGAAAATATGTACAAACACAACAAATATGACGTTATTGGCGCGTGTATCGCTTTATTATAGATATATTTTATTATTCATATGCCGAATTCTCCATTTCCCGATGTTGAAATCTAAGGTAATAGCCACTTTGAAGAAATGATTTTGTAAAATTAGAAAAAAAGTCAACCGTTATATACTGTACACTTGTAAATTCTACCTGATTTGATCCATTGTAAAACAAAAGAAATTGTTTTCAATTCATTAAAACATTAATTGGTATACGGTGAAGATATTTACGAGAAACATGGATACCAGCATCTAAATATAATTATAGCGTCATAAGAGAAACCTGAAATGGCCGCAGGATGATGACCACTTTGAACATGTCCTATCAGATACTGAGTGTATCTAGTAAGAAATAGGTCGCTCAATGATAAAAGTTGTGAAGAAAGTTGTTCTTTCTTCCACTCGAGTTGTCCATCACTCATTATAAATGAAATCTACTTCATTAATCCTAGAGCAGTTCGAAAAGTTTTCAACATTATAAAAGTATACAAGTTCGAAATTCTAACGACAAAACCATATGAAGAAAGAAGACGCAGATTAATTACGATAAGGTAAAACAGTCTCTCTGACTTAACAAAGGAACAAAATAATGTTTTGATAAAAAAAATATCAACACTGCGTTTGACAGCTTGATTTTGCTTCGATTTTCTGCACAAATCTCAAGCACAATGTGTTGTTATGTTGTAGAGAAAATTTAACGAATTCCTTCCTCTCCCCCTCCTTTTCCGGGTCTTGTCCGAAAGAACTTTTTAAGCTGTACTGACGTTCCTTACGTGAAACAGAGGAACTAATTTTCGCTTACTGTTGATTAAGGTATCGTGATCCTTACAAATCAATCGTGACATTTCTGTTTACTCATTTTTGGCGTAGAATTACCAATTACCAATAAACACGGAAACAATGAAAATCGTGTCAGTTATTCTTATTATTTCAACGTTAAATCTTTCAATAATATCAATGATCTTTAGTTCTATACAAAGTATTTTTCTTTTTTCGTCTTTGTGTGTGAGCGGATGTGTGTGTTTAGCGAGGAAAAGTAATTAACTGTTTACTATAGTTTCTCGATGCAAGATAATTGCGAATCACAAACGCATATTTATCGATAGCGAAAGCAACATAACTTCCTTTTCGAATCATTTAAATTTGCGATCATCCTCTTTGGACTCGACAAATTTACTTGTTTATTTAGAATTCCTTAATCCATTCATATATAAAAATATCTCAAAACGCTGAAAACTCGTTTAAACTTTCCGATGAGATATATGGTCACAACATGAAACAAAACTTATCCTAGTGTTGCCGGTATGGTCTTCTTGTAGAGTATATTTTTTCGTGAAATTCCCCACCGAAACGTCATATCTTTACTTCAGTCGCCTCCTAGACCTCAAATTTAGGCCCTCAGTATCACTGACGAGTCTGAAGGACGAAACAGCTGTATGATGCAGGTTAATTCACTATTTGTCTATACAGTATCTAATTCTAAACTATTAAAGGTGTTATTCATTTATGTGTCTTTTGTACATTTTCAAGTTCTGCTAAATTAGGTGGGATTAATGATTTCACATTGTTATCCAGTAAAAAGAATCAATTTTATGTCATATACTGGTACCTGTATGCCGTAATATTACTTTTATTTCGATAAATCACTGGACAGCACATCTTTCACTTTTGGACATGAACACGGTTTGGGAACATTGGTAATCATTACTTAAAGGATATGGTATTTGTGGTATAAATAGAAATACCACCGGACTAATGATTGGTACTATATAAAACATAGTAGTCAGACCTACACATCGCCCCATACCACAAAACATAGTAATCAGACCTAAACATCGCCCCATACCACAAAACATAGTAGTCAGACTACACATCGCCCCATACATCAAAACACAGTAGTCAGACCTACACATCGCCCCATACCACAAAACATAGTAATCAGACCTAAACATCGCCCCATACCACAAAACATAGTAGTCAGACTACACATCGCCCCATACATCAAAACACAGTAGTCAGATCTACACATCACCCCATACCATAAAACAAAGTAGTCTTACCTACACATCGCCCCATACCACAAAACACAGTAGTCAGACCTACACATCGCCCCATACCACAAAACACAGTAGTCATACCTACACATCGCCCCATACCACAAAACACAGTAGTCAGTCCTGCACATCGCCCCGTACCACAAAACAGAGTAGTCATACCTACACATCGCCCCATACCACAAAACATAGTAGTCAGACCTACACATCGCCCCATACCACAAAACACTGTAGTCAGACCTACACATCGCCCCATACCACAAAACAGAGTAGTCAGACCTACACATCGCCCCATACCACAAAACAGAGTAGTCAGATCTACACATCGCCCCATACCACAAAACACAGTAGTCAGACCTACACATCGCCCCATACCACAAACCACAGTAGTCAGACCTACACATCGCCCCATACCACAAAACACAGTAGTCAGACCTACACATCGCCCCATACCACAAAACACAGTAGTCAGACCTACACATCGCCCCATACCACAAACCACAGTAGTCAGACCTACACATCGCCCCATACCACAAAACACAGTAGTCAGACCTACACATCGCCCCATACCACAAAACAGAGTAATCAGACCTACACATCGCCCCATACCACAAAACATAATAGTCAGACCTACACATCGCCCCATACCACAAAGCATAGTAGTCAGACCTACACATCGCCCCATACCACAAAACAGAGTAGTCAGACCTACACATCGCCCCATACCACAAACCACAGTAGTCAGACCTACACACCATACACAGTAGTCAGACCTACACATACATACCACAAACCACAGTAGTCAGACCTACACATCGCCCCATACCACAAAACACAGTAGTCAGACCTACACATCGCCCCATACCACAAAACAGAGTAATCAGACCTACACATCGCCCCATACCACAAAACATAATAGTCAGACCTACACATCGCCCCATACCACAAAACATAATAGTCAGACCTACACATCGCCCCATACCACAAAACAGAGTAGTCAGACCTACACATCGCCCCATACCACAAAGAATAGTAGTCAGACCTACACATCGCCCCATACCACAAAACAGAGTAGTCAGACCTACACATCGCCCCATACCACAAAACAGAGTAGTCAGACCTACACATCG